TTTTGTCTAAGTGGGTTAGGACTGTCTCTGGGTCCAAACTGGTTTTGTGAGATTCCTGATCATATTTAAATATAGTTTGCTGATTGGGAACAGGAGTGAATCATTTTTCACAAAAACATTCTTTTTTTAAGTAAATACTCTCAAGAATGCTCTCATGCTATTTTTACATCTCCGAAGTTTTTTGATTTATGAAGTACCATTGTTTCACATCCTTGTTAATTTTTTGACATTATGGGCTTTCTCCTCTCAGGCGTGATCACCAAAGCTCTCCCACCACCAAAGCACCCACCACCCTCTGCCATAGTACACTGGCTTCTACCCCACCCTGTTATCCTCCCTCTCCTCTCCTCCCCTCCCTCACCCAAGGCCTCAGATCTATAATCAGCTCCCAAGGGTTTTGCTTTTTCTAATTTATGTTTTTGTATTTTTTTTTTTTTTTGTATACACCTAGGAGTGGTATTGCTGAGGGGTGATTTTTTTTAACGATTTAATTATTTATACATACAGAACTGGGGTACATACCAGAGGTGCAGGGGTGAGGTGAGAGGATTCACCAGAGACAGAGACAGAGTGGGGAGCAGGCCAACTGACAAAGTACACTACTGAGGGGAGCTGCGGGCAGGTCAAGAGAGGTCTGCTGCGCCATGTGGGTCACCTTCAGGGTGGGGGATCAAACTCATGCTGAAGTGGCTTTCGCTTCTTAGTGCTGTGCTTTAACCCGCTATGCCACGAGGCGCCACGAGGGAGGGCCCCCCTAAGGGTGGTTTTAAAGTTAATCATTGCCTGACCTTTCTTGGTTTCAGATGTTTTATTTATAAGAATTTAGAATTATTTTCTTTGCCGTGGAAGCCTGGACGTAGACTCTGACGGAAAACCCTAATCTGAGTTCCAGAACCTTGTGACTTCCAAGTGTGACTAAGCAGGATGGTTCTGTCTCTGTGCAAAGACACGTGCTGTGACCCCTATTAGACTTCTGGCCGGCCATGCCAGGAGAGGCACCCCCAAAGCTAGGTTGGCAACATTAAGACCCACTGCTGGTGCCCAGCCAGCCAGTCAGGGCCTCCTGGTGCCAGGTCTGCTTGGAATAGCACCGAGGAGCCTGCCCCGGGCGGCCCCTGCCCCTGGGCTGCCTCCCTTGGGACACAGCCCCCTCCGTTGCCTGGGCGTTGTCTGCAGGGTGTAAAAGCAGGTGGGGAAGTGAGGAGGAGAATCGCCAGAACCAAACTCAAGCCCCATTCTGCTTTCAGCCCCTGTTTTTCTAGGTTACGCTGTTCCCTCCATAAGGACTGGGCAGGCTTCTGCAGAGGTAGGGCAGGCTCTCATTACAATCCGTCTCTCCCTGGCACACTGCCCTCGCTCAAGGCTATCCTCGCGTCCTCCCGCTATTCCTGGGGCAGGCTGGGTGTCGTCCATCGCGCCCAGTCTCTTAACACGAGGCCGGGAGGAAAGTAGAAAATTTAATTTTGTAAGTTGAAGGTTAAAAATACAAGTTAACATTCTTAACTTAGCTTTCTGGAAACTCTGATTTCCATAAAAAGCGTAGCGCTGGAGATGGTGTGATGGTAGCCAGGCTGCTCGCACCCACTCCCCCTGCACCGCCCCACCCCCCCCAAGTCCATCTCATGGTGAGTGGACAGCTGATTTTGAAGCTTTGCAGAAAAGTCTTAATAACAGGAACTATGCCGGCTTTATGTTTCTACCGCCGCCCTCAGCTGTCCGGCCTGTGGACAGGTGGACCTTTTTAGGACATCTTCATCATGTCTGAGATAAGCTGCAAGAATGGACTTGGGTCAGACGTTTCCTGCTTGGCATTCTTGCAGTGAGTGCCGACTGGGTGTGGTAACAAAGATAAGGAATTTAGCCATGTGAGTGACTTCTGGACGTCACATCGCAGCCTCCCGCACATTCCCCAAACAAGTAATGACAAGTTCTCCATGTGCCAGACGAGTGCAGAAACCAAGAGCTGGAATAACCTAGACTCAAGATCAAGAAAACCCCAGCTTCTCTGTTCACACAAAGGGAATTAATTCGTGGAATTAGTACTCTCCCTCCGGTATTTAAAAAAGATGAAGATGGGCCCTCCCTGGTGGCGCAGCGGGTTAAAGCGCAGCACTGAGAATCTGAAGCCGCTTCCGCATGAGTTCGATTCCCGCCTGCCGCCTGCCCGGAGGAGACCGCGGCTGAGTCCTGGTTCTTTGAGAGTGTCGTCTACACCTGGAGTGCCTCTGCTGGCGTGGATGACCAGCTCTACTGCCAAGCTGCACCCACACGGTTCAGGCTCGCGTGGCGTCTCCACACTGCGACCGTAGCTGGATCATCTGCTCTCGCGTTCAGCCAGCAACACTCTTCAGAGGAGTGACGAGAGCTTTGCAGGGGGCGGAGTTTGGCTCATGAACAAGGGAGAGAAGACACGTGAAGCAGTGACCTTCTAGTCGTG